CAGCTTTGAACATTTTGTTAATTTTGATTTTTTTTAAATAATTTACTGTATGACTGAGCTGTATTAGACTTGGGCTTCCAATAGTTTGATTGAGAAAGTTAGTTGATTCGTCATTTCAGGTTAAGTAGTCTATTGCTCTATATTCTGTCAGCACCTGGTGAAAACTGAGAAGTTAATGGGTGTGTTTGATACTAGGTTGGTGATGAAGCTGAAGTTATTAATGGACCATCAATGCTTTCATCACGAAGAAGGCTAACTCTGACAACTCAGATGATCCAACAACTCTTACCAGCTTTACCAGCTACAATGCTTAATGTGGATGCAACTTCAGCTTATGAACAAGTGACCTACTCTGTTGCTAAATCAGCTCTTTCTGATTCATGCAACAAGATCTATTCATCAGAAAGAGATTCTTGTTTAATTGATGGTGATCTGTAAGTTTTTGTTCATATAAAATCTGAGGAGTTCAATATGGAATATTGTTACTTTTTTTTACATATGTTTTGCAGATGTTTATTGTGTTGTGCATCGTTGAGTCATGTTCTAAAATGATTTCTTTTTGTTTTTTAAAGATAACCAGAATGTTTAAGCCTTCTCTGGTGGCGGACTGTATTTTCTCAAATATTGTGGAAGAATTTAGTGGAAGGTCCAACAGGCTTGAAAGCATGTTCTCAAGGTATGTTCATTTGTAGATGATCCTTGTGAAAATCTTTTCCATTTTACTTGCTTTGCTTACTACTTATTAGTGTATCTTTTCTGTTGATTTTAATCTTATGCAGGGAAATCTCTGAACAATACATTTACATGTGGATTTCCAGATTTAGATCGGATCATTGTGTTTGATAGTTTTTTATATATTGACTAATTATATAGGTTTCCAAAATCCTATGTGCATTTGTTAGTAATTAGCGTGTGGCACGTGCATTTGCATGAGCTTATTCCAGCAAAAGTTATAGTGAGCATGGTTTATATTACCGGTTTGTATCGGTGTACCGACCAGCTATCGGGATGATGCATACCGAGCTATACCGACACATGATATACTGAAGTGTATCGATGTACCGCCTATACCGGTCCTCTATCGGACTGGTACATATCACCCGTACCGAGCGGTATGCTTTGGTACGTCAAACCTTGATAGTGAGAACTAATACATAACTCATTACCTCTATTATGTTGTATAATATTAATCATCAAATGGACAAAAGTAGTATTAGGAACTATTTCACATAGTATCTTCACTGATGTAATATCTCTAGTTTAGTCCCACATTAGAAATGAAAGAAGACTTTGACTAACTGACTAAATATGTCTATTGTCTTCTATCAGGCTCTTCGAGTGATGAGCTTAATGGATTAGTTATCTCATTAGATTAGGTATCGTAAAGGGTCCATGAATGGGGTTGAAGACACTAAGATGTTGAACCTCATATGCCCCATGTTAGGGTTTGATCCCGACGGTGATTTCAAAAGGCGCTTGCATGCTCGCCTAAGTGCTCAGGCAAGGCAAGGCGAGTATGCGAGCGCCTTTTGAAATCACTGTCAGGATCAAACCCTAACATAGGGCATGTGAGGTTCAACATCATAGTGTCTTCAACCCCATTCATGGACCCTTTACGATACCTAATCTAATGAGATAACTAATCCAACAGACGCATGCTCGCCCAAGCCTAGTCGTCGGGCACTTCAAGCCAGCGCCCGATTTAAACCAGGCAACTGAACTAGCTTTTTAGGTTTGGTTCGGTCGCATTTGCGTTAGTTGGTTCGCAGCCTCCCCCTCATGACTTCCCCCAACTCTATTTGTGATTCCGCCACTGACATTTCCTCTCTACTGTCGTCGTCGCTACCTCTCTCCGCTGTCATTGTCGCTGCTCTCTACTATCATTGTCGCTGCCACTATCGTTGCCTCTCTCCGCTGTCGCAACTCTCCACTGCTATTGTCGCTGGTCTTCATTGCCACTGCTGCTTCCTCTCTCTGCTATCGTTGCTCTCCGCTACCGCCCGTTGGCGCTGTCGCTATCACTACTCTCCGCTGCCATTGTCGCTGCTCTCCGGTGCCACCCGCTGCTACCGTTGCTCTCAAATAGCAGCTTCTTATCCGCGACTAAGTTCTCACCGTGACTCAGCTTCTCACCTCGGTCTCCTTCTCACACTCTACTATTAACAGTAGAGAATATTTTAAAATATTAAAATATAATTTGTTATATATTTTAATATTTTAGAGTGTCTCACTTCGCTCAGATGAGCGCCTAGTGCCTCGGGCATTTTGCGACCTTGGCATCTAATGCTTTTTAACTCATTAGATTTCGAGTTATGTTGGGCATTAGCGAGAACTTCAAGCTCCTAGATGTGGGACATTATTACATTTTTGGTATATTCCTATATAAAAAATGGGAGTAGACTTTGATTGATTTAGAAAAGTTAGATGAGTCTACTACCATTTGGTTTAAAGAGCTTGGACTTCATCAAATTAATGGATTAGTGGGAAAGGGGAGAAAACCTTAGGGATTAAAATATTCAAATTTGTATGAGAAACTTTCCACTTTTTCCACAAAGGAGTAACACTAAACTAAATGCATTTGAAGGAATATGAAGTTGAAGGGGAAATTATTTGAAAATGGGATTAGAAACCCTTGCCATGTTGAGGTAAGTTGAACAAAAACAGTTGAGGGAACATGTTGCAGAACTCTGAATTCTTGCATCATTGTTTGAGAACAGGAGTCTCCTACCTGCCACTGCCCCAAGAGTATCCCTCTGTGTTTGCGAGCATTGCTGCCATGACTTGTGGCTCAAGATATAAGATGAACTTTGTCTCCACTTCAGGGGGCCTTGGTCTTGCCTCTACTTTGGCCAGCATCATCACAGCGGGCTGTGTTATGCATTTGAGTTCAAGTTGGGTTGCTAAGGATTTCACCATTTTATGTGAGAGATTTGTTAGAGGTCTGTTGAGCCCCAGTGACGCCATTCCCTTGTTTCTGCGAGCATTGTTGCTATGTCTCAAGCAGTAATATAGGCCCTGCCTCCTGTATATGCTTTATGGGCAGACCTCAGTGGCAAGGGAGAGACACTGGCTGCCATGGGTGGTGATGTTGTTTCAGATACGGGGGAGCGGAGAGGAAGGGAGAAGGGTGGGGAGGAAGATATGACTATTCACTGTATGTATCTGGGTATTTTGTTTTGTTGTCTCTAAGCTGCATAAAATGTGATGATCATAGCTGTTAAAAATATATCACATGGTTAGAATTGTGTGCTAAATTTCACTGTAGGTTGCATTTAGTTTTGATTGTTAATCAAAATTTATTTTGCCCAATGGCTTTTTGGGGCCCACCATGACTCAACAGGCTATGGCATTATAACTTGAACCTGACCAAAATGATTAGCTGTACGTTGAACCTAGCAACTAAACAAGTACCTTCAATTAGTTGTGCCAAAGATTGTCTATGAACAAAGAAAGTGGAAGGTGAGTGTCAAGAGAAGTTTGACTGAAGATGCTCTGTAAGGATAGATAAATGATGTGATATCCCTTGGAGTGTTTGTTAGAAAAAACAGACGTAAAGATCACACAGAAATGGTGGATGAAATGATTGATTTGGTTAGTCCTCGTTTTAAGAAATTTAAATTTTATTATTTGTTTTCTCTTTCTTTTTTTTTGTTTGAAGTTCTAAAAATTTCTCCTTTCCTATAATATGTGAGAGTGGTAGTGTATTCCAGATTATAATTTCATCATCCGCATGGGAGATGTGTGAAAGTACACTTAGATTTGGAATTGAAAATAGAAACGCAAGAAGATTCTGGTTTGTTGCTTGCATAATAGATGATGACCGGAGACTAATATTAGAGATTTACTTTCATCTGAATACGAACACGCATGAGAATAAACAAATGCAAAACAATTCCTTGCATTGTTTGAATTGAACCACCAGTAAATCTCCATGTAGTAGTCATGATTCGAGAAGTGGCATTATTTGCTGTACAGGAAAGAAGAGGGGCAACAATAACTCTGTTGCTCTCATATTTTTGTCATTGACTACTTATTGTACTTGAGATCGGATGGGAGGACCTCAATGTTGGACGTACTACTGTATTGCCAGGAGTTATAGAAGTTTTCCATCGCGAACTGCTTGGGCAAGTTCCACGGCAGGAGTTGGATAGATGGAGTTATGGACTCGGTTGCTTCCGAGACAACTTTGTCACAGAGACATGTCACCGCAGTTTCGGTGCCCAGAAATCTTCCTGTCAATGTTCTGTCTCTCATTGTAGATTGTAGATCATTGATTATTTTTTTGTTCTTGCAAATCTCCATCCCTGTTCCTCAATCTTTGTCTATGCCCACCTATCTTCATGCATAAGCCGTATGCTGAAACATGAACATGGGGTAAAATAGTTTTACACGTAGCCAAGGCGACGTGTTCTTGTTTTCCTTTTTTCAAGTTAGGTCTCTGTATATTAGTGTGATGATTAAATAAGATTAGGGTTTTCCATCATGTTTTTTAAGGTGGTGGGGAGTTTAAATCATGATTTCTAACAATCATGAATGATCATTATTGCTGCTATATATATATATATATATATATATATATATATATGATTTCATAATCTTGTGCAGATGCCACATCTTATCGACAAGCATATCCTGAGCTTGGTAATCTAGTTGAGTTCTCTTCTCCATTTAATGCATGCTTCTGTTTGATCTTGAAGTTAACCAAACCTTGTTTTAACTATGCTGTCACTTCAATGTAACAGGTCTCTGCAAGGGCTCATCTTAAGTTGTTCAAAGTAGCAGATTTCGCATAAAGAATTGTTTGCTCCAGTGACTCAACAGATGACTGATAACAATGGGGTACAATATCCTTAACACACTAATTTCTCCTCAAGCTCAAGCTCAAGCTCAAGCTCAAGCTCAAGCTGATAGGGTTTGGACTGCTGGAGATGGAGTGAACTGCATGATTGTGCAAAAAGATATATGCAGTGCTCTGGCCAACTTATGAGCAGAAGATTACAAAGATGACATTGCTGGAGCAACTGTGGATTCTGGGTTCTGATGGCCAACCACAACTGACACGTTGCTCACATCACACTGACGACTCAACAAGTGCAGAACAAGATAAGTTATACGTGTCTGGAGGAGCTGCTGCATGTTCCAAATTCTGATGCACAACCCATGGCAGAAAAGCACTGTTCAGTCTCCCAAGGTCACATGCTACAACCCAAAAGTAAAAAGAGGCTCCACGACGGAGGACACAGACACAGTGTGGTGGCATTAACAGTAAACAATCGTGTGGGCGAAGAAATAAATCCATCTGATGATATGTAAGCAGCAGCACTCACCCAAGCATGATTCTTGTTCGCATCCATTGACACCCCTCACAAGCCAACCTAATAAGCTCGCTGGGTTGCTGCAAATCCTCTCTCTCTCTCTCTCTCTCTCTCTCTCTCTGTGTGTGCTGCTGCTGCTGCTGCTGTAGAAATGGCTACTTTCCTGCTCCTCGTGCTCGCCGTCGCCATGTCTAGTGGTTCAGGTAAGCTTTAGGCTTCTCCCCCTCATTGAATTCTTCTGCCTTTTCTTTGTCTTTGTTGTTTAAGATAGGCAGAGGATTTCCTGATCATGTGAGCTAAGTGGTTAAGGTTGTGAAGCCACCTCTTGTTTCTTAGCACTCAGTCGAATTTGTTTTCCTTGCATGTTTCTGCTTCTTCCTTGCCTATCTTACCTCCTCTGGTTCTTTCTTCAGAATCGAGTCCTCGAGAGACAACCGTCCTGCCTGCACCTATTTGGTTGACATGTTTTACTAGTTTCTATTTTTTTCATCATCTGATGGCAGAGAGAGATTAATGACTCAAAACACATGAGATCAACTATTGTGGTTACTAATCAATCTCTGCCTGTTCATCTGTTTCTTTCTCTCTCTCTTTTTCTCTTTGTTGTGTCTCATTATATATATATATATATATATAGTTAAGGTTGATCCTAGTTAAATATTGTTTTCTTGGTTAACCTCTGCTCCATTTTGAAGATGCTGCTTGGTGTGTGTGCCGATCTGATATGAGCAACACTGCTCTGCAAAAGGCACTGGACTATGCTTGTGGAGCTGGGGCTGACTGCACTCCTATCATTCAGAATGGGGCATGCTACAACCCCAACACAGTGCTCGCCCACTGCTCTTACGCTGCCAATAGCTATTACCAGAGGAAGGGTCAGGCCCAAGGAGCCTGTGACTTTGCAGGCACTGCCTCTCTTACATCAACAGATCCAGGTAAACAAAGTCCCCTCTCCCCCCTATTCCAAGACACATTCCATTTACATTACCACTGAGCCACTCGTACTATCATCCTCTTTGGTTTTGCAGGGGGGAATGGTTGCACATACCCTGCGACTTCCAGGTATATTTTTCTTCGATTTGTGCAGAAGATAGCCATTGTTTTCTTAAAGCAGCTTTGAATGATAGCCATTGTTTTCTTAAAGCAGCTTTGAATTCTTTGAAGAGGCCTTTTGCTTTGGATGGTTCTTAAAGTTGTGGTGATTGTACAACCCCTGATGAGTCAAAAGATCCGGCCTTTCTTTCTTTCTTTTATTTATGTTCCTTTCCTTGCTACCCCATCTTTAGCTTTTCCACTCCAAATGAGCATATATCAACCACTATGATATATTGATGTTTTTTTTCCCCAAATATCTAAATCCTCCACCTGTCTGATTGAGGCTACGGAACATAATCTAAAATGTCATGTTTCTATTTGATCTGCCAAGCGGCCCCTTGCTTTTGTCATAATCTTCTTTATGAAGCCAGTATGTTCCTTTTGCTTCTTTTCTTCCTCTATGGTTCAATCATTCATGAGCCATTGGGGAATCTTTTTTTTGCAAAAGCTGTTGTTGCTTTTGCATGCTTTTATGTGCTCGTGCCAGTTGTTCTTCTTGTTTATCTCGCTTTAATTTCATTTTACTGCTTGTTCATATCTAAACCTTGTTTCTCTTCCAATTCTTTGTTTTTTTTTTTGTCAGTGTTGCAGGAACTTCCGGCACTCCAACAACCACCACCCCAACGAGCAGCACCCCCGCAATCGGCACTCCGACAAGCACAAGCACCACTCCCCCAACCACGACGACGACTCCTACAACCTTCAGCCCTCCAACCACAGGCGCCACCCCCACGGGGACCGGAGGGGTGCTGGGAGGACTGGGCCCCACTGGTACAACCAGTAGCATTGATGGTAGTGATGGGGGCTTGCTCCCAGGGGCTGAGGTGGCCTCACTCCTATCAACTCTCTTTCTCTCGTCCGTGTTCCTGTTGAGGTTATGAGTTCACACTTGTAGTAGGCTGTCTGAAATCACATCTTTCGAGGAATTGAAAGCATATCGATGAGCAGATGAGGGTCCACAAGTCATGTGATGAACATAGGTGGCCAACGAGGGATCCATCTACAGACGTTCCCCCCACCAGTGTTTTGTTGTTTAGTGGCAACAAAAGTGGGGCTTTGATTCCCTCTTTTATGCTCTTTTTCTTTTCATCGAACTTAGTCCTTCTATCTCTCTCTCTCTCTCTCTCTCTTAAGTGATCCAGGGAGGCAATGATTCATTGTATCATATGTGTTGATGAGGCTGCCATACCTCCCTTTTAGTTTAATGTCTAATCTACATGGGTTGTATCTATCTGCATGGAGCAATTCTTTACTGGTCAGATAAAGAAGAAGTCTGCGTGTGTTGCTGATGCCACAAGCGAACCAAGTATGTAATGCCAGATCCTGATCACCAAATTAAACAGATTGGGCAAGGAAAAATACAAAAAAATTAAAATTAAAATTAAAATTAAAAATTCAAACAAAATTATTTTTTATTATTACCAAAACCAAGTAATTTTCAGGCAATTCTTATATATATATATATATATATATATATATATATATATATATATATATATATATATATATATATATAT